CTTGATTCATAGAATAGAATGAAGAAACACAGCACTTGCTGATTTTTCATTTCTTCACCTGATGAGAGATGACAGTAGATGTACACAGCTACTGAGAGGCTTTACTGCTTGTCTTTTTGACATATTGAGCTAACACACAAGCTGTCAGTTTTGTTTTGTAATGCTATAATTACTTGTATCTCATCTTTCTCCAGGATTTGAGTATATTTCTCATTGTAAGCTAAACTTGGGATGATAATATATTTATGGAAGATGGAAAAAATTGAAGGTGTAGTAGAGGTCTGTATCATTGGGTGAAAGGGGCAGAATTTGCCTGATAGTGACCATTTCATTAAAACAACAACAACAACAATGCATCTTCCTCCTATGATAACTTGTTTTCCTGATATCAGGGTGGCTTATCTTTCCTGTTGCCTTTCCTGTGATTCCATTTCAGAACTGCACATGCAGCGTTTTGGGATTTTTGTTCATGCCTTAGCCCTTGTACTTCATATAGCATATGCTTAGAGCATCTACTTCAGGAAAATGGGACTTTTATTTTACCATTTACCTTGTCTAGAGTGTCATTCATTCAATGTTCAAACATCAGTAATAGTTGCCCTAGGGTGCAAGGGCCAAGCAGAAAGTGCATTTGGGGTCTGTTCTACCACATGGGATGAAAGCACGAGTCGTCAGGAAATCTCTCTCCTCTTGGGGACATTGCTCATATAGGTGACTGTTTTATTTATCCCTGTTTCACCCAAAGTTCTGCATTCTTTTATATTAATAAAAGCATTGATGTTGATTCAAAATCTTCATTCATGATTACTTCAACAAATTCAACTTTTGTTTCTCTTAAGAGCTGTTACTGTTTGTTGTATAGCAGCGTCGTTCTAGGCAATTCAGAGATCAAGTGGAAAGAAATTCAGTGATGCTGCAGTGAATGTAATTTACTGGAACTTGCTGTAAATTGGAAAATACAAGGCAGCTCTGACCTAAGCTACTGTGTCAATTTTGGCTGTGTACAGTATTATGCAAAATACTGATGTCATCTATTGAATTTTAAGCTTCTGTCTCTACCAATATACTTTCCCTTATGTAGTGATGCACGATATAGGTTTTTAGGCTGATCTTCATGGATTTGTGCAGCAAAATAATAATTTTTCATTACAGCCTTTGTAATTACCATTTAAGCTATCTCATATGAACAATGTGTGCATATCTGTCCATTGCCTATAAAGGAGTCAATCAAATCAAGGACATAATGGAAAATCTTAACTATCAGATGGCAGGGGTGCACATATTGAGTAGTGGAAAATCCTGCAAGTGGAAAGAGCTCTTTTTAGGTGTTGGAATAATTGTATGTTGCTTGAAGCACACGATGAGAACAGTTTAAACAGTTATTAAAGAATGTTGCCAGATCTTATCACTGCAGTCATGCATACAGATCAGCGATCCCCGTGCAGCACTACAAAATGTGTGAATGAGGTGCACTTACTAAAAATATACCTATTGAGTGCTGTTCATAAATTGCCACAGAATACTAAATGCGTGCAGTCTTAGCAGTATGAAAGCATCTCCAAGTCTGAGTTCAAGAATGTGTTTAACTGCAACTTTACGAGTGAACTTAAGAGACCAAAAATACTTGCAGGCTCTGTTTGCCTGAACTTTTATTGATGTTTAAAAAGCAAACAAAACGAAACAAAACAAAACAAAAAAAACCCTTGAACTTGCATGCTTGCATGCATGCAAACCCTTGAAAATGGATGAAAATGCTGTTAAGATGAAGTTAGTGCTGGGTGTGGTACAGTGGATGAATAAGCAAGCATAGCAGATGAGCTGAGTCTCATAAAAAGGCAGCATGCAGTATTTCTCAGGTTTTACTTAGTGTAAGGAATGTCCAACAGATATATCTGGGTCCCACAACCAGTCTCTTTTCATCCTCAGTTTACTTTGTTAAAATTGGAGCCGTGGCAGTTCTGCTCTTGCATCATTTGCAAGGAAAAGTATTGGGTCAGCATATGAGTAAGGTTCCTGGGTCAGTAAGGTTTTTGGGATCACCTTAGCTGGCTGGGATAGGTTGTAACACCTGTATCTTACTTTGGGCTGCTTAAGCATCTTTATGAAATGTGGAGAAGTGACTGTAAAAAGAAATAAAATGTTTACGTCTCTTCAAGGCATCTGGCAATAAACGGACACCTGAGATGAAACTGAAAGGAGGAGAAAGTCTCTTTCCTTTAAAAGAATCCCTTAATACATATTCACAACTGTCTTAGAATCATAGAATTGCAAGGTTGGAAGCGACCTGCAAGACCATCTAGTCCAACCATCCTCACACAGCATTGCTTCCACAAGCACTAAACCATATCTCGTAGCTCCTCATCCAGGCTCCTCTTGAACACTGCCAGGGACAGTGGCTCCACCATCTCCCTGTGCAGCCATTCCAGTGCCTGACCACTGAGAGAAAAAGTTCTTCCTCATGTCCAACCTAAACCTCCTCAGGTACAACTTGCAGCCATTTCTTCGGGTCCTGTTTGTTGCCTGGGAGAGGAGGCCAAAGCCCTCCTCACCACAACCTCCCTTCAGGAAGTTGGAGAGTGCAAACTCTTGTGTCATTATTCCACAGATGAAATCTATTCTCTTATGAGAAACTTTTTAAATCAAGTCTGCCTTTGTCAACTCAGCTTTGTTGGACATGCAATTCATTAGAATCCTGAGTAAATTGGAAGTTGCAATGCTTTCTTAATAGTTAAATCTTCAGTTAGACCTAGGTAGATGAAACCTTTCCCTCATCAAAGTGTTCTTAAAACCAGTGAACTGTTTTTTATCAAATTCTTTGATTATCAATTTGTGTATAGTTATCCATTTCTTCAGCTGATTGTGGAGAAATGCATGATTGCTAGCATTCTCTATTTCTGCTCCAGCAAAGGATTAAGCTGTTCAGGGAAAAAAAATATGAAGCACAAAGGATTTTGTTTAACTATAAACTTTCTCTGAAAGTAACTTTTCTCATGAGGGACTGGCTTTCTAAGAGCAAACTGAGGGTGCTTAAAGGTCATGCAGACTGTTCTTAATAACTACAGTTTTCCAAAACTCTGGAAATGCCAGATAAAAGCATAAAGAAATATTGATCTGATGGGGCCTTACATAATCCCTGATGAAAGTAACAATGCATTTTAAAACTTGCATTGATTACTCTGGGATTTATAGCATGGGCCGTGCTTTTGTTATCTTTCCCAATACTGAGAATGCTGCCTTGACAAAGCTAAAGAAATGATATTGGAAATGCTGTTGAGACATTTGAATTTATCTCTCTAGTATTTTAGCACTTACTGTCTTCTGAATTTATACTCAAAGCCACGTAAATGAACGTACTTTACCAGTGAGCTTAATGGAAGCGGGAGGATTAATGACACAGCTGTACCACAGGCAGAAAGACACTTTTTGCAACCTAGGCCTCAAACTGTAAGCACTGAAGTGCTGTAGGCAAAACTGAGCTGAGAATTTCTGTTGCTGCAATGACTGCATCTGTGCTGCTTTTTAGTTCTGTGCTGGGATTCTCCTTTATTAGTTTACTTTGCATCTCTATCATCTCTGCTGAAGTTGTTTAGACTTGCTGTGCTTTCAAGTAGCTGCATTTAGATATTTCCCCTAATATGTCTCCCTTGCTTGATTCGTGGAGTTATCTGCAAACTGAGGTTTATGAGAGAGCTGCTCTGTTTTTGTTTAACTTCAGTAATCTGCAAACAATTGGAAAATTATGAGGCTCTAAGTTTTCAGCCGTTTTCATGTATTTCCCTAATAGAAAACTCTGTAATGAGTGCAGAAGTGATGTTGATGGCTCAGGTGGTAGACGAAGTTTGTTGATTTGGAGCTACTGCAAGTGCTTCCTTTTGTGTGGCATGCAACAAAGATTGCATCCTTGACAACTTGTTGTCATTAGTTTCTTTAGCAGCTGTATCAGGTGTGTCAGCCTTTTCGTTGGCCAGATTTCAATTTCATTAATGATGAAACCTCCCCAGATTAGCCTTGACTCTCACATAAATTCTATTATCTTTTCAATTTCCAACTTCCAGCGTGAACTTGTGCAGGGCACAGTGGTACTCGTGAAATTGAGTACTTGCTTTTTGGCTGTCAGTGGCATATTCAGTTTGTGTATCATTTTGTGTTGTTCCAATACTGCTTTAAAAAAGCTGAAAAAGAAATTAGTACTGAATGTTTTTTTTTGAAACTGTTCCAAGGCTGTCATCGCATGTAACTCTGTGTTAGCCTCATGGCTTAGTGAAATAATTATCTGATTAGTGAGAAGATGGTCTGTTTAACAAGGCTGTGTACTTATCAAGTTATGTCTTAGTGCAAATATAATACGCGTGTACTATTGTGTCTCTGTTTACTTAAACTCATCCATCTCCAGATGTTTTTGAATTGCTTCTTCCTTGAAAACGTAGAATCCTGTAGTGAAGTTTGTAAACCAATGATGTCTGTTGTTTGATCAAGTTGATTTGTCTTGCTGATTGTCAAGATGTTTGTCTAGATGTAATTCTTGGAATAAATGGTTGCTTTCATATCCTCTAAAAATAACTTAGTTGTGCTCTGATTCGCTCACGTATTTCTTTACTGCACCTTTTTCCCTTCAAAATAATTAATTCTTAAGGATAAACCTAGTTATCCATTCTATTTAAGACTTAGAGAACTCAATGCTGCTGCAGAATAATTATAAAAGGCAACGAATGTAATGGCTGTTGTTTACATTTCTTAAGCATTTGAATACTTTTTCTTTAGGTAGACAAATTAACTCTTCAGTTATATTGGATTTTTTTAAAACTTACTTTCTAGCCTCTGCGCTGGAGAAATAATGCAAGAGTTTAATTTTATTGCTTATGTAATAAAACCATTTGGATCTAAATTAAATCAGATGGCTTTAAATGTTTGGACTGCATTTTCTGGGTTCTATATTCACTGTATCCAAACATAATTTACATTTCCAAAAACTGAATCTATTTCTTCTTTGTTTTTACTAGGGCCTGCATGCTGTGACACAAAAACTGCATCACGCTGTGCACTATGTTCATGGTAAGCCTTATTTCATCTTGCAAGTTATACACACTGTAATTCCAGGGGTTTTGATGTTATTTCATTTGAAATTATCATAAGCGCATTCATGCTGCTGTAGTCTTTATTCATTTTACAAAATGAGTGTCAAATTTCCTGTTTTGAACTACATCCAGTGCAAAATTAGCTTTAAAAACCTATGCAGAATTTGATAATGGTCTCAAATTTGCGATGGTTTTGTAAAATAAATAAAAAATACACGACAAATAATGCACATGGCACTGGACAGGAAAGTACTGCAGTAGTGCCCTCATTTATGACTAGCCTCTAAGTGACAAGAAGAGGTAAAAAGTAACCTAGGGCCCAGCATGGTATGCAGCAATTCCTGTTTTGTCCAGGCTTCGTGCCTCTTTATCTATGCTAAGTAATTCTCCATGGCTGCCAACTCCTCAGCATAAGTCTTAAAATAACTCAGTTAAAAATATTTCATAAACTCATTTTATATAGGCAAAATAAGCCTCTTTGCTCCTCCAAAGCAGCATACATTTCTTCTGTTACATTGCTCCTCCAAATATTAGCAAATTACCACTTTAATTATGAATATAACTTGAAAATAAACCCTCTCTTGGAATTAAGCCCCACATTTATCAAATGGTTTCCAACTAAGTCTGGTTCTTTTATGAGCTGCTATCTAGAAAATACCTTCTGTATTTCTGCTTTCACCGGTGCATATTTTTAAATTCATTATTTTTCCCCTTTTCACTTGAACAAGAATGGATGTGGTCCCCATCCCCTCCCCTGTGAGATGCTCCTTTAGCTGCTGAGGGATGTCGAGGCTAATCAGTGACCTCTGAGTCTGAAACCAGAAGTTAGTAAACAGCTTTCCCTAGTGGATGGGATTAGAGATGCAAGAGGAGTGGCCAAAGCTTTAACGGACGTTGTCTTTTAATCTTCTTCCACAGTTCAGTTATTTTGTCAGGAAATTAAATATATATATATATATATATATATATATCATTGAACTGCCAAGGTAACCAACAGATGTTAATTTTCTCTTGTTAAATTTTCTCTTGGCATTTCAGAGAGTCGAGTCACGATTATAGATGTACTGCTTCTTCCCAAATTAAAACATGGAATCCTAGTATATTCAGAGGCTTCATAATAAGCACGCTTACCTATGGGAATAGTTTGTGTTGCAGGACCTTGTGCAGGCTGCAGGGATAGGTGCACGTTTGCAGAGCATGACCAGCAACAAGCCCTCTCTTGATTATGCATTATATCTAACTGCTCATTGCTCTTGAAGGAGAATTAATGCAAGAACAAAAGCTCAACATTTGCCAAGTGCCACTATGCCAAAGTTCCTGTATTTCCAGACTTTGTGTTGTACACTTCTCCCTCATTCCAGAAATTGAGTCTTTTGCATGTAGTTTCCTGTACAAAACAGTGGCATTTCCAGCACTTCTACTGTTCTGTTGGTGTTTGCTGGAGGTTTGGAGGAGGTTTTGTGTGTGGATCTTAGCACTGACTCTGTAAATTTAATTAATCTGGGAGCCCCAGAAAGATGGTTAATGACTCTATTAATAAATTTCACTTGTATTTTCTGTTTTAAAATAGCAGAGCAGTGATATGTGCACTAGGGTATAATAAAAGTGTCTTATTTTAGAGACCATCTAGCAGTAATCATTTTCAAGCATTGTAGATGTTCTCTAAAAAATGAGATTTGTAATTTTTCTTTACACAATTACTGAATAAGGCTCTGAACCTGTCAGTGCTTAGCTAAGGTATTTTTACAACAAATAAAATAAATCATTGTCGTCTCAAATATCTTATAGTTTGATTTCACTCACTTAAATTGTGTGTTTACGAGTTAAGCAAATCTGACAGTATTATTCTTAGAATTATTTTAAAAACATACCAAGGCTAGCATAAAAACCCAGATAAACAAAGCTATAACTTCTCTAGTTTTGATGGCAAAACTCATTTTATGCTGTCCAATCTTTTGTAATGGCTTAGGGAGGGAGAAAATGGTGATTAAAAAACAAGTATTGGAATATTCTGCACACAAAATGCTTTTTAGTGGAAAGGAATTGCAAATCTACTGACAAAACTGCGTAGTCAGATAAAACTGTTTGAAGCTTCTTGTTTCTGATTTGTATTCCCAATAAAAAATTAAGATGAAATAGCAAGCATAGAGATCAATTAGAGCTGTACTAGCTTTAAAAAAGAGAATCCATTTCTTGTTCTTATTTTCTAGAGTACTGCAGTGCATCTTTTTAGTCCATGCTGTATTTGTAACAAATATTTTCATGTAAATAGAACTGGTACAAATTACAAATTAATTGCTTATCACTTCTGAATCAGAAATAAATTCTATATCTGGGCACCTAATCTTTACCTTATCTAAAACACTTCCCATAAGGGTTCTGCTGAACTTTTAAAAAGTAGTTTCCTCATTTTACATGCTTTTGATACACTGAGCTTTCTTACAGTCCCCAGTTTATTTTCAGGTATTCACAGCATTCTTTTTTGAATCTGGCACTACTGCTCACCTTCTGTTGTATGGCTTATCTAATTGATGTTGTTTGGGGATAGCAATTATTTGGAAAAAAAAATTATTTTTATTAATTGTAATGCGAATATTATTGGAATTCTGTTAAGAATGCAGTTTGTATTACTGAATGAGCAGGACTGAAATATTGGAGAGTGGAGGAGTGGTTTCTGTACTGGGTGAATGCAGCCCTTAATGTGTGCCTGCTCTGTATCTCAGCAGTGCTTCTTGTGGCAATGTGCTTTTTTATGGTTTGCCTGTTTACAAATCCTCTGTATAAATAGGAGTCCCAGAAGTGCTGCAGCGATGGGGACTTTGCACTGCTGCTGATCATAATTAGATTACTCTACTGACTTGTAGATCAAGCCAGTGAAAGATGCACAGAGGGCTGACTTAGAGCTTATCAAATCAGCTAAGTAGAGCAATTAATGAGACAGACCTTAACTTGAATGGTGTGTTATTTCTTCAGTTTCTCTCTTTTTGCTTGAAGAAGGTATTTCACGTGAAGCAGCGTTCAGTGGGACAATCTCCTTGTTGTCTCCTTGTCATGTGTTTGTCTTGGAGAGTGTCAGCAAGGGTTCTGAGCTTTACCAAGAATGTCGTACACCTTTCAGAGATCTGCTGACCTTCCCAATGCACAGAGCAGTGTCCTGCTGTTCTGTGACCTATAACTGCTTTTAGAAACCAAACTAACAAACCCCCAAAACAGTATGGGGAAAATATGAGGTCTGCCCTGAAAAATCTTTAGCCGTATAATGCAGTCCTGGCTAGTAGCATGGGAGTTCACTCCTATTAGCACCAGTGTTATTACACCAAGAGTTTCAAATGGCATACATTCTCAACAAGGCTAGCTCAGTGCACTCAGTAATAAGTATATTATTGTTATAAATCAGGAAAAAGTCACTTCTGGTTTTCGTTCTTAGGAAGTTTGTTCTTTACTAAGGTCGTAGCAACTGACTAATTCAGCTCCCCCAGAATGTACTGGGGACTGTGGATAATGTCTTTTCATACTGCTATTCTCTGCAGTACAGATATTGTGCAAGGCGAATGAAGTGTTTTGTCCAAACAATAACTTGTCAAAGTGTCTAAAAAGTAACTCTTAAGAAGCTTCTCATTACTGTGCAGTAGGAGCTGTCAAGGTGTCCTTAGAACGGTGCTGTTAACGAGTTCATTTTATTTGTAAGTAAGTTTATTTGCCTGATGCTGTTAACAGCAGTCCTTAATTGAGCAGTTAGCCATACTACCTTAAAGGAAGGATAAACCATTAGCAACAACTGATTATTAACTGGCAGTAGTTTATCAGCCTATAAATATGCAGTCAATTATCGTGCTTGTTAAACTACGTTCTGGGTTGTAGAATTGAACTGATGGTGTTGTGTGGGATTTCAATTTGTGCTTTTAAAATACAGGTTAGATCACTGCTTAAATCCATGCAGAATAAAAATAATCCCAAAGCAGCTCCTTCTCTCCTTCTGTTAGATGCTTCAAGGAGACAGGGGCTGTTCTGGCTTACACAGAGCACACCATGTGCTCCTGGCCAGGCTATTGGGTTTTGTGTATGCATGCATTGTGTGACTGTGTGTCAACCAGTACTTCTAACTCCTGTGCAAAGGAGCAGGGATGTTGTGAACCTGTACAGCTTGCTGCTTACCATGTGTGGAAAATGATTAGAGCAAATGTGCAAAGGTATGGAGGAGCTTTAAGCTACCCCTGCATCATGGCTTGGGGGGAGGTTGTCTGACGTAACCCAGTGTGAAAATGAGAAGAGCAGTGTACGTTTATTGCTCCTAAGAAACTGCCAAAGAAAACTGTTTCAAAAAGAGGGGAAACTCAAATCAAAATTATTACAACTTGAATATCTGAATGCTTCTCTTGTATAATGAAACCTGTATGAACAAAATACTACTTTGGTATTGAGGAGATGCTTCTGATTTTACTCACCTGCTAATCTGTATTTAATTTGTACTTAGCCACACGTTACTGGTGGCAAGCGAAAGTGTTAAATATGCATAACTTGCAAAATTGGTAGTTTTTCTTTCTTAATTAATTTGCACAAATCAATGATTTTCTATCTTTAGATGTAATTTTCCTGTGTCTCACTGAAGGAAGAAATTATGCAAAGTGTCCTTTTTTTCCTTGCGCCGTTTTGCTTTAAACAGCACCAGTATTTGTCAAGTTTGCTGCTGCCAAATTGGACCACGGCCCTGTAGCATGGCCACTGAATGTGGCCAAGTGATCTCTCTCCTAACATGACCTTTGCAGTCATCCTTCCCTTCTCTTCAATTGGTCAAATCAATTCCTTTTCCATGCTTGCAATGAATCCTAAAGCGCGTCTGAAAATGTAAGTTGAATTAAGACTCCATATTCCCAAACTGCAAAAAAAAACCCCACCTTGGTATCCAAATCTGGCAATGTGTGTTTTATACTTTAAAAGCTTAGAGAATTGCTATGACGTGTTGATCTTGAAAGTGAT